CTTTCACCCTTTCCTGTTTTCATAGCTCTGACACAAAAGGTGGATTTGTTGGTATCTTTTAGACATCAGGCAATCTAAATTGCTCTGTTCTGCCCCAATGTGCAAAAGGTAAAGCCTAAGAAATAATGAATTCCTTTTTCATGGTACAGTAGTTTGAAAAGTCTAAGATACAGCACTTTTGAAGGCTTTTTTGGAAAGTCAAATTAAGGGGCAATTCCAGGAGTCTTTTGTCAAAGTAAGCTTTGCATTAATGAGAACTAGGAGATTTGTTGTTGAAAGGCTTTGAAATTTGAAAAAAAAGAAATCAAAGAACAAACCAAAACCAACCCCAGAGTGCTCTGGTAAAAATCCCACATGCACAGATATAGTTTGCTTTATTATATGGCTTTAGGTGCATGCCTTAGGTCTTTCAGAAAGTAGAGCTTTCACTGTTCTCAACAAGAGACCTGCACAACTTGGATGTGAATGACTTGTGCTGCCCTTTGAATTCATGACTGGATAATGTAAATCTGTGATTATGACATGGTTACCTCTGTGAAAGGCTTATTAAAGACCACTCTGTCACTTGAAGTCTTTAAATAATGATGAAATGTTTTTCCAAAAGATGTTTTCACTACATGGGATGGTGCTCAGTAAAAGAAGCAACTTGGTTAAGTTCCAAGGTCTGTGTTGAACCAAGGTCATATGAAACATCAGTGGCCTTCCTCTGACCCAGCTACACTGAATCTTTCTATACATTTGACTGGCCTGGAAAATCACACTGAATTGCTGGGGATGGCTTGGTTTGATCTTCTGACATTTTAGCATTGTGTTTCTGTTCTTGGTACTAGAGATCAAATTACTTTGGATGATTTCTACATGGGGAGTGAGAAGGCAATCTCCTTCGGCTTTTGAGTATTTTAATTGTTCATTCCACACAACTTAAGTCTACTTATATTTATAGGAAGTAATTTTTAAGCTTTGTCTGCTGAATTGTGCATAAGTTGCTCTAGCTTCTTGCTGGGTCCTCTAGCTGCTCCCTAGATGCTGTCATACTGCAATGTCACAGCTCAGTAAGTTTAGTGTCAGTTTTGCTTTCCTGTTTTCCATGTATTTGCAATGGCTTTCCGTGGTAATGAGGATTAAGTCTAACATGTAGTCATATTTTTTTAACCTTTACTGATTGCATCAACTTAATTTATCAGCTAATTCATTCCTATTCACAAAAACAGACATCCTCTTCCACTGCTGTTTCTTTATGTACCTCTGCCTTATAAAACACCCTTGTTTTAAGATCTTAAATAAAGAAAGAAATTTTAAGACTTAATATCTCAGTAATGGGAATTAATTTTAATCATAAATAGTATTTTGCCAGAAGAGAACCAAGCATTAAGCTGCTTAGCAATGTATCAGCAAATTGACATAATAAACGATAACTAATATGACAAGTAACTGGAATCAAAGAGAATAAAAAGTGTTACTTGTGTGTAGGCAGAGTGGCTCAAAAGACCTTCTTTCTAAAGATACCACTGCAGAAAATGGGACCATAAACGTTATCCAATATATTTTTGTTATTTCTTTATAAACATTAATTTTATGTCACTCAGAAACTTAAATCTAAGCTCAAAGTTTACTTGTGTGCTCACTTATATCCAGGAAGGCCCATCATGGGTTTCTTAATCAAAATTTATTTTTAAAGTCAGTGAGAGCAGATATAGACTGTTTCAAATGTCTATGGTCTAACTAATTAATTTATCTAGGTGAATCGCTGGTAGAAGCACAAAGGGTAATTTATTCTGTAGGCTGAAGCACTGGTTGTTCTTTTTTTTTGAGTCTGAGAAACAAAAATATGATTTTTGTGGAAGTTAAAGTGTACCCATCACCTCATTTTGCCAGGGTGCTGAACAGCACTGGCAAGATTATTTCTTGGATATTGTCACTAGATTTGAGCTTATGACCTTGAAGTGAAAGACTCTTGTAGTCTCCACACTGCACCTGTCTCAGAAGAGTTAACTAGGAGGTACTGTGCAGTCGAAAATATGCTGCTATGTATGTCCTTCAACAATGTCCGTAAACTTATCTGATACTAATTATTAATTTAGAAAGGGCAGAAAGCATATCTCAGATTAGACTGGAACCCACAAAAAGGCATCTTTGGAACAATCTCATTTCCTGGTGTAAACCTGCCATAAAGGCAGCAGAGTGAACAATACAGAATTTTTTCCTGGTTAGAACCATTGAACTCAACCAGCTTGGCTCTTCCTTAAGAAAACAATGAACTTGAACAGGAGAAAGGCTTCAGGCATTCAATGCACCTCCAAGATACTTCTGAAAAAGCAAGGAACAGCAGAGCAAAGGTACTTTTTCTCCCAAGTTTTCCCAGAAATGAGCAGAACATGCCAGGATTTGCTTGCTGGCAATTGAACATTTCGTGCCGAGCAGAATATTTGAGAATTTTTGTTTCATTAGGCTTAGCAAAGATAATTTCAGACATGCATTTAATATGTTCTCTTTAAGACAGTTTGTCATCAAAAATGAAGCACTGCTTGGAGTTGAAATATGAAATTTGTTACATATCACAATTTTTGACATTTGAATCCTAACATGTCAAAACACATCAAGGGCTCAAAATATAATCTATAAAAAGAAGACAATATGCAAAAAAGTTGGAGAGATTATGTGCAAAAGAATACAGGCTTTTCTCAGGAGCACACAGCTAAAGTCAAGAATTCAGACTAAAAATAAAATTTCTGGATAGGAGTAGATGACGTTGGACGCTTATTTAGGCAGTATAATCACCAAGAAAATGGGGATTTAAGTATGGTGTTATGATCATATGATAAATTGTATAGCTGGGGAAAAAGTCAGATAGATTTGGTCTCTTTTTGATAGAGACATGATGGCATTATTGGCTTAGACCTTGTATAGCTTGAAGTGCTTGGAGTAGCCAAACTTTGCTTATTTTAACTGCTGCCCCCTTGGTCCCAAATGCCTCTCCTCTTTTATCCTAATTAGTAATTTCCATTTTCCTTAAAGCTTTACTAGGCTCCTCAGAGGAAAAACAATGACCATTAAAGGTGGCCTATAACACAGCCAAGAGATCTTTTTCTGGGGTATGATCTGGCTAAGAAATAGGTATTTAGGGCAAGAACGGTGTGCAAGAAACAAAAGAGCTTTGCAGTGACCAGAGTCCAGTCAATATCTTTTGCCGTGACTGATGTATTGTTTAAAATGTTAGAGCACAATATTCCAAGACTGTGGCTTTAAATTTCTCAAGCAAATTGTGATCTTGTGAGCTTAGAAAAGAGAATGACTTTCCACCCCCAAAAATGGACTTAAGTCTTTTTCATTGAAACTCTCTAAAAGGAGATGCTTTTTTAGGGAAGCTTTTATATCTCAGAGTTAATGCCAACTTACCCCTTCTGATTTAATTATCCTATTATCATCTCCCCCAATATAGTATCACTCTTGGATTAATTGCTCTGTGATCTCTTTAGTGTATAGATTCAATTTTCTTCTTGTGAACTTTTAATAAGAAAAGCTATTGTAGAAATCAAAAGAATTGCAGTGCATTTACGTAACAATTTTAATAAAATTACTTTCCAGACAAACTTTCTTCTATGTACACTTTTTAACAAAGCCGAATAATTCAGCTGAAAGACTCTTACAACTTGAGTGTGTTTTAGTTCAGGCTTTTAGAGATAAAAGATATGATCATGTGCTAGACTACTACACAGTTCTTTACATTGGCAGTGTGGGAAGGACTGATAATTCATCACTTTGAAGACACAAGTAAAATTAGGTGAACATTAATAGGTGCTAAAGAAATCTTTGCAACCTTTTTCTTCAGAATACTCTTGAATCCCTTTCAATGCTACCCTTTTACTCTGGTATCACTACACAGCTAGTATATTAAATTGCTCAGAAGCAAATATGCAGACAACGGGATTCACTTCTCTGCATCAGTGATTATTTTTTCAAGGACTGTAATGGTGAAAGATTTAGACATGTTGAGGCACAGTAAAAAGTTTTCAAAGAATCATTAAGGTTGACTCCAAAACAAATAAATTATATTTTCCATTGAGATAGCAGCTTTTTCTAGACAAGATCTAAACATATGCAAAGGTGTCTCTGAGATCAGAGAACTACAGAATAATTTAAGTTGAAAGACACCTCCGAAGGTCATGCAGTTCGATCCTTCATTCAAAGTGGAGCCAGCTTCACAGTTAAGTCAGATTGCCAACAGAACTCATGTGGTTAAATACAGCAGTGTGATCTCTGCAAGGAGTAGTTAAAGTAAATGAACTGGGACTCTGGTTAAGATTTCACTGAAGCTTTGACATAAACTGTATGACCCTCTTGGGGCTTAAATCCAGTACTCACTAGAGCCCATGGAAAAACTCCCATTGATGCCGATCAGATTTGGATAGGTCCTTTTGTGTCTTGACTCTATATGTGTGAAATAAAAATCACAACTACAGGATAATATTTCTCTGTTGCTGTTGGATACTGTGAGGATGAATTCAACAGAAGTCTGTTGGCTACTTGAATGCTGCTTCTTTTTACTCCCTTGTCTTCAAAGCCACACTTATATTTAGATTGATCTTTCTAAGGCAGCTATATGGCCCTATTACTGTGGATCTGAACAGCTCACAGCCTTTAATGTTTTTATCCTCCCAGTACCCCTCTGATGTAGGGAAGTTCTATTATCCATGCTTTACTGATAGAGAACAGAGATAGCAAAGCTCAGACTGGTTCCACTGGGAATAAAATGCCTGCTTACCTTTATATCTGTACATAAATGGCTTGCCCAAGGTCATACAAGCAGTCTGTGTCAGAGTGTCCCTATGTTTTGAATTCCAAGTGAGCCCCCTCTACCTTAAATAGAGGGTTTTTTCCTGGAATTCAGAGCTACAGGTAGGGCAGCCATTGAAAAATATAGCAGATTTGAAAAGCAGAAAAACCCATCAGAGTTTAAGTAGCTTTTGACTAAAGGAATTGTAATGGGGCTGGGGGGTGGGAAGCACTATTCTTCAAAAACTGGTCATTGTATAGAAATGCTCTTTTCAAGAATTCCAGCTGTGCTAAAATGGTTATCACAAGAAAATCTGGTGAGGAAGAAGTTTCAATCTTTTATGATGTCCTGCTGGAAGCTCTCTTTGAGATTTCTCAGCCAGTGGGAAATGAATGGTGGAGTCCAGAGAGCAGGTGGTATAATCATCTGGTTAAGCAGCCAGGATGAGGCTGTTAGAGCAGGGAAACAATCAGCGGTGTGACAGGAAAGAAGGTAGACAAATTTTCAGAAGAGTATAGCATAGATATGTAGGACATGTAGAATGGAGTTTTTGTATATGGTTCTATTTCAGTGGACAATTAAATGGTCCTAACAAATGCCTTTAGGTACCTGAATCCCAGTGGTACAAACACTACAGAAACAACACTGCAGGAAGTTGAGGTGTACTTCAAAGCATCATATGCTTCTGGAAGTTTATGCTTTGATGAGGCAATAACAATGACAAGGAAGAAATTGGAGGATATTGTTTTAGCTCACCTGTATTTACCTTCTGGTGAATCATTAAAAGAAGTTATGTCGACATTTTACCCATATAATAGTATAAATTATGAATGGACATAGTTATGTAAGTTCTACATTCCTAAAATGACAAGGTCCTCTTGATACAACAGGGCAATACTCTTGACTTTGTAGCAGCAGGGATTTTTGTTGTTGTTGTTGGTTTTGGTTTTTGTTTTCAGCATAGGACAGTGTGCAACCCAAGTAAGTTTGGAGATGATATATAGTTGAGAGGAGCAATTGGTGGATCAGATGGTTCTGTCAGCAGTAAGAGGGACATTGACAAACTGGAGAAACGGGACAACAGGAACCTCATGAAGTTTAACAAAGGTAATGAAAAGTTTTGCACTTGGGTTAGGAATAACCCCATCTACCAAAACTGGTTAGGTGTGACCAGCTGGCAGCTTTGAATAGAAAGATATGGCGGCCCTAGTGGACAACAAGCTGACCACAAGCCAGAAATATGCCCCTGCAGCAAAGGCTGCCAATGACATCCATGGTTGCCTTGGGAAGAGCATTGCAGAAGACAGAAGAAGGTGATCTTTCCCCCATACTCTGCATGGATGTAACACTGGGTGCTGAGTCCAGTTCTGGGCTCACCAGTGGAAGAAAGACATGGACTTACTGGAGTGAGTCCAGTGAAGGGCTGCAAAGATGATTAAGGGACTGGAGCATCTTTCATATGAGGAGAGGCTTGAAAGAGCTGGGACTGTTCATCCTGGAGAGGAGAAGACTCTGGGATTTGTGATTCTCTGAGGGCACAAGGACTCAACAGAGCTACAGCTGTGGGATAAAATCTGGAAAATGAAATCTTGAAATTCACTTAACGTATGAAGAAGAAATCAGAATTAGGGTTAGACTTCAACTAAAGTGACTTTCTGGGATGCACTGTGTGATTCCTGGTACAGCAATAAGATTCCCCACCATCTGGAAGGCCAAGTTTATGGCTTTAGTATAATTACAGAAGATGAACTACTGCTATTATTATTATTATTACTAAAACAAAATTCCAATAAACTTGGGGGCAAGAGAGAAGTAACAGAAGGATATATCCATTAAAAACTGTCTGGAGACAAGTCTGTAGTGTTCAGTGGAACTGAATGCCAGACCTCTAGAGATACATCTGGGCTTTTTGGCTTTGCAACAACCTTGTACTTGTAAAGTTAATCATATTTTTGTGACTAAATCTAGTTTCTCTCCATGATGCTGAGCTGCACCTTGTCAGCTTGCTGGCTATGTGTTTGAAGGTTTTTGTGCTATGTTCCATCTTGCTTGTTAGAAAAGTGTTCCTGTATTGATTTGGTATCAATAGCTGGAGCTTTAGGAAGAGTTATGATAAGCAATGCTCTTTTAGATTTTCAGTACTACAGCTAAAAGTTGATAAAACAACATTTTTAGCTTAACTCTGACTTGGGCTGAAAAGTGCCAGGTTCCCAAACCTGCCCACAAAGGCTTGGAGGATTGCTGCATTCTGAACAAATATGGGTACAATTAAGGGGAAAATCAGTTCCTGCCCTTAATCTGCTTAGTAAAATTTGATGCAGAAGTCACTGATGTCATTATATACAATTATACTGCACAAGTAGACACTGTCTGTTGTTTCTGTCTAGCTACCAGTCCTGCAGGCCTTGGGTGCTATTAATAAAACATATAAAATTGCAATAATCAAACAGATGTCAGGTTTGATATGGAGGCCCAGTTCTAACAAGACTAAAATGTCTATAACCAAGGAAGCATTTAGAATCTTACTGGGAATGAATAAGACTCTTATATAAAATTATATAACATATTTGACAACAAAATAGAGGAGTTCTACTGTCCAAATTTCTGTCAGAGTTTTCCTGGTCTTGTAATGGCTTTGAAGTGTGGAGAGGCAAAGATGAAGGAAGTCCATACACAGAACATGCAGAACTGTGGCCTCAGTGCTATATGTAATATAAATATTCCTTGCTGAATTTAAATGCAAAAGGACTGGAAGTGAAAAAAGGGTAGAGAGGATGAAGGCTTACAGTGCTGCTGTTCTTATTGTTGGGAAACAGAGATGGTTTGAGAGGAGCAAACTGTAGTCTGCAAAATTATATCATTTGGCTAAGACGCCACCCTGTGCAATGGGAGAAGTTAATACTGCTATCAGTTCAAACAAGTAAAGCTGTCAAATTTCAGCATTGATGAGATATACAAATTGGAGTATTGGAATGCTCAGGCCAACTCTTATAGCTAAACCAGCCAAACAAAACCCCAATCGTATTAAAAACCCAACATATAGAACAGGTTAACTCCAGTATTATAACGACTGATAAAACAGGAATATTTTTAGTAGAACCTACCTGTGACCTTGCCCAAGGTGAGTGATTTGATGGCTTTAAAATCAATCTCAGAAAAGTTGTGTTTGAGTTTGAGAACTTGATCAACCTGGAAGAGGTCAATAAAATTAGTTCATTACAACAGTATGTAGACACTCCTCGATCTCTCTGTACTGAAGACTTCTGGGAACGCTCTCAGCTGCAAATCAGTTAATTCTGCCCCCAAGCGTGATTCAGTTTCTAAAGATAGCAAAGTGAACGTGCTTTGATTTTAGCATGAGAAGCTGAAAGTTACACCAGAATAGTCATAAAAAGGGCTTTGAAGAAACTTCCCCTGCAGAAAAGCTTAAAATGTTTGACACTGAAATTCCCCTGCTTCCCAAAATCCATGTATAGTCACTTCAGAATACACTCAATGGAGGTCTCTCTGGAAATGTATTGTGAAGAATCAGTTCTCCATAGAAGAAAACCATAGTGCAGCAGACAATAGAGGACTAGTACTTGAGGAAAACCCTGGCTTTTAGCATAAACCTCCTTCCTAGATAATCAGGCCTACCCACTCTAGTTGCACACTGTGTTATCTTTTTACCACCCAGAAATGAAAACTGCAGAGGAAAGATAAACTGGCACTCCTTGTGTTTCTGTCTCCTCATTCTACTCCTTTAACACATGGCTTCTCTTGAGATTCTGTCACTCTTCCCTGTTAAATGATGGCCGATCAGGTCTAACCAATTTGTTTAATAATATCAACTGCTATAAATAGCCTCAGAAAGAAAATAGAAGAAACAGTAAGATGGTCCTCTTCTCCCTGCCTTGGAAAAACAGGCAATGCAGGGGAACAAGGCAGAGGAGGGTTCTCATCTCTCATGGGTCTGTCACAGTCAGCATGGCTTGCTTCTAGCAAAGGTACAGAGCATCGTCATGCATATGGTGGCTGCACCCTGTGTTCCTTCAACTTTTCATTTTCTGTGAGAGGATAAGGCAGCTGGGGTCACATTCTCCCTTGGGGCACATGCCCTAAATTAAATTACATTCCCAGGTGCTCATTCCTCAGCTGTTTTTCTCCCTTTGACAGCTTTTTAGTGATCCATACTGTATGCTTCCTCTGGGACTACAGGTCACACAGATATCCCTACATCCTGGAACCACTCCAATGGTCCCAATGAACTTCTCGCTGAAGGTGTTTCCTAATTCACAGATTATTAGAGACAAGGGAAGGATCACTCTATGGAAAACACCATAGTTGAACACTTTAAAGAAGGGTCTGGATGGAGCTTTGATCTAATGCACACGTCTCTTCTGCTGCTGGACCAGCTTTTGTTGCATCAGTTCAATGTGAAATTTTGCCTCCTGCTGGTGATCAGGCATTGAAATCAGTGGGTCTGATTGTGGTACGAAGTATTATTTAACACTCAATATAAGCCACAGCATACCTGAATGACAAGCTCTTTGCCTTCTCTGTTAATCTTCACATGGTGAAGCTCTCGGTTGGCAAAATTTCCAGAGTCAATGGTGAAAATGAGGAGTCCGTCCTTACTCAGCTTGTATCGGACCTGTAAACTTCCTTAAAACCAAAACAAAATTCTAAGTATAAAACCTGTGTCCATAATGAGATACTGTTCAATACCTTTACGCAACATATAACTCATTTTCTTTTTATTACAGTGAAGTAACAAGGTTAAAAAGTCAAGAAAGATGTTGAAGAAAAATGAAAGAGTTCAAAATGTAATGAAAAGTGTGAAAAAAAAAAAAACCAATCACTGGAACAGTTTTCCTTCCCACTAGCTAACAAACTTTGCTATGGAGAAACATAACTTAATTAAGTAACTAAGTATATCAAAGGAGAGTGCGTCTGTCTGCAGGTCAGACATTTAGCACTGCCACAAAAGCTGATCTACATTAGTCTGTTAAGGATGGTTTCCACCAGAGGGCATGCAGGTCTTGCACTGTTGCATTAAACTAATATTGGTGGATTTTACTATTCGTTTTCATCAAGATGTAATGGACAATGCAGAAGACAGTGACAACTGTGAGAATTATAACTTAATTTCAAACATTTAAAGGCCTAGACTCATTATAATTTATATGCAATACAAGAAAAGAGATATTGTAAATGATTATACAGAAAAAAATTTTTTTACTTTGGTGTTCTAATGTGTTTGAAGAAATAAATAAAATTAATATAAAAATGAATGCCTAACATCTCTTTCAGTCTTTGTATCAAAAAAAGCATTGCAACTTATGATAAATAACAGTACCATAACAAATCAAAATGCAAAAGAAAACAAGGAAGTCAATATGAATTTTAATCCTTCCACAAATGACTACAGGGAATATATACATATGTATATATAAGTCTATAATTTTAAAGGAAAAAAAACCTATTCTGATAAAATCCTTTCAAGCTTACTTCTCTAGGGATGAATGATAGGGACCAACAGACTGATTGTCGTAGGGATGTGCTCACACTGTGTTAGCTCTAGGACTGGTTTCAGTGTTTGCAGAGGCAATGCTTGTGTGCACATCATGATGCAGCACCGTGTCAGAGAAGCCCATGGTACACCTGCACCAGCTGCTGCATATGCATGGTGCACCACAACGGTATTCAGAGGCACTGCTGAAACTAAAAGCAGTCTGGTTGTTTAATGAGGTGAACGAGCAGCCTTGCTTGGCTCTTATATTCAACCGTATTAATGCTGAAAGACTTCTTGCAGGTCTAGAGTTAGTGAGAAAGGACATGGGGCAGTTTTCCTTCACTACATAGTGTAGTGACTTCAGCCTTGCAAATTCTCCCTAAATAAGGTCATCTCTGTTGTCCCACAACCTACTATAAAACCACTTTACAGAAAGCTTAAAACAATGTATAATTTTCCTTCAGAAGGGGAATTTTGCCACCTCTACACAACTCACAGTGATGTTGGTAGCCCTTACAGATTGGACTCAGAGTCCAGTTAAGATCATCCCTCCTCCTTTTCCCTCACCAGGATGTTTAGCTGCTCAGGCTCCTAAGAGCTGCGCTTTCTGTAACATTCAATATATCCCAGATGAGCACTGCCGCTCTCTGAGCTTTGGAGGATAAAGACAAAGCTTCCAAAAATGAGAGGGAAAATGAGAATGATCTACTAGAAAGAAGGCCTTTTAGCTGATTGAGAGGGCTGCTGGATCAGGTGAGCTTTTAAAGTAAAAATAATAATAAAAAAAGGAGGTAAAAGACATTTACTTTCTCACACATAATCATGGATATTAGAGGAGAATTTGTGAAGAGATCAAGGTCAGTAACAACTGCTAAATTATTCAGTCTGATATTATAGGTCCTGATTCAGCTGCCTCAAATCATACTGTAAAGCTCCCATCACCTCACTGCATAGCCAGGACAAGGAGCGATTGTCTATCAGCATTAGTGATAGTCCCACGTAAAGGTCCAAACTTAAATCACAATCCCTTTTTCTGGTACTGAATGAAAGATGCATCAACAGGGAATAACAGTGTAAATATCCTACAATCACTTTACTCTAGAAAGACAGGAAAGAAGCAGCCCAAGTGCAAGGAAGTAAGGGACTGTCTTCAGACTGACACATTGGGGCAGTGGGAGAGTCAATAAAAACCTGAAAGGTTGTCTGACCCTGCGCACCACAGCTGAGATGACCACACAGAATAAGCTGAAACAAAGACGTGATAGTGTAACAGATCGGTCCAAGCTAAAAATCATGTCCCAGAAGAAGTACTTTACAGGTTGCCTCTTACCTCTGGGGTCTTTGAAAGGGGTGCAATGCAAAAAATGGAATGGGGCCCAGATTTGGTCTGTACCTTGTACTAGTCGCTCAGTTTGTAAATATGAAAAAACTTCTTTGCTCTTTTCACGTGCTATGGACACACCAGTATATAAAATTGTCCTGGTTTTTAACTGAGACACAGATAGGTTTCTTTTTAATAGCTACAACAGTGCTGTGTTTTTGTTTCAGCATCTGATTTGTTATGAGAAAAAGCTGATACCACACCAATGTTTTCATTTGTCACTGGAAGTGAAGGACTTTGTATTTCACTAGTCTACAAGTGCAAGATCTAGGGGAAGCAACAAATATTTAAATTATTAAGCTAGATTAGCTTTTGGATATGCCAATGGGCTATTCCATATCATATAATATCATGTTCAGTATACTAATGGGGTCTCTCTCTCTTACTCTCTCTGGCTTTCGCCCAGGCTCTCGCTCTTCTGGGATTGCGGTTTCAGTTTTGGGATTGTTGCTCCTCTGAGATCATTATCTGGGAATGGGCCAGGCTTGGTCGGTGGGTGGTGAGCAATTGAAATGTGTATCACTCATTTACATATTTTATTACTATTACTATTAATATTATTTTAATTTTACTATTTTAAGTTATATTTTATTTCAGTTATTAAATTGTTCTTATCTCAACCTACAAGTCTCTTTACACTTACTTCACCAACTCTCTCCCCTAACCCCTGGGGGCAGGGGGAGTGAGCAAGTGGCTTTGTGTGGTTGCTAGCCAAGTCAGGTGAAACCACCACAAAAATATAAATGGTACTACTATATCCAAGTGATCAACATAGCAACCAACACATTTGTGTTCAAAGAAAGCCAGCAAGATCTGTCATCTGTCTAGGCTCTCAGCTGCTACAAAGAGGGATTTACCCATTGAATTAATCAGAGAAGCACTGATTTTAAACCAGAAACCATCTGTTCCATTTGTTGGGAGACAATAGAGGAGGTTCTTGACATCCATTAAGAACAGATCTTACTTTCTATAGCGGTACAATTTTACCTTAAATCATTTAAAGAGATCAGTGAATAGCATCTTATTTCATCAAATTGCTTTGAATTCCAATGGCAACTTTTTTTGAATGGCTGCTCTTCAAAACCATTGAATTCAAATTGGCATTTTGCCTGGGGTCAAATTTGCATTAATATAAACCAGAAATACATGAGCTCATCTCTCCAGAGGTGCTTTGGAACTTACAGCAGTGTAGCTGAGAGCTGAGTTTGGCTTGCATTCAGTACCAAAACTTCTGTTTTCAGAGTACAGAATAATTTGTCAGATTGCATTGCCATTTTGCTACTTGACAGGCAAAATAAATGGCTTATTAATTAGGATTATTATTAAGAATTTTTTTTGTCCTCTGAATTTTGATCATCTGTTCCACTGACTTCCTCCATTACATCAGGCCAGTGTCACTAACTGCAAATAAAAACCTTTGCATAAACCA